TGGGGAAATCTAAATTCTAAAACACATCAGCCCTAAAATTTCTTGGTTGTGTTATGAACTCTGATACTATGCCTGTATTTTATCTGATAAAAACCAAAACAACAGAATAACAACAACAAAAAAAACTACCAGAGCTCTGAGTTTTATATAACTTTTCTTTTTGATTTATAAGGTTTTTAGCTAACTCCCACAAAACACAGATTTTTTTTCTTTTTTAAAGAAAATTATTTACTTTGTGTACTCCTCCATTGTGGGCACACAATAAAGCCTCTTACTTTTGACCTTTTTACAGTCACTCTCAATGCTATGTAATGAAGTCAGTGGAATCTTAACTTCCCCAAGAGGAAGGCTCTTGGCTCATAGCTTTTTAAACTGATATTTTGTCATTAGCACAAGTGTTTTCTGTATCTTAAAATGATGCTGTACTTAGATTGGCTATATTAATATATGTATATGTGTAATTTTTAAAAAGCGATATATCAGTGATAGATTTTTTTTTCAGAAAAAAACGTACATATTGATAAATAGCTTATAGTTAATGGAAAATTTTTTTCTTTTCAACTTGTCAGTTAATATGCTGACTTACAAAGCTTTGTAACTGGGTAGACTAGATGGTGGAACCTAATTTTGAAGCTTTTTGTTAAGACAGACACATTACATTGTTGGGAAAACTTATGATTTTTAAAAAAATTATCACTGAATAAGTTCTGAAGGTTAACAGTTCCACCTAGGACTTACGAATTACTTGCATGTGCAACTTTAAGATATATTTTAGAATAGTGGTTCGCAACCTGTGGGTTGTGACCGACACCTTTTGGGGTCGCGCAACCCTTTCACAGGGGTCCCCTGATTCGTAACAGTAGCAAAATTACAGTTATGAAGTAGCAATGAAAATAATTTTATGGTTGCGGGTTACCACAACATGAGGCTCTGTATGAAAGGATTGTGGCATTGGGAAGGTTGTGAACCACTGTTTAAGAACCTCGTTACAATAGTCTGTCAATTTTGAGGTGTAACTGTGATTTGTGCTTGTGTTTCTAGACGTACTCTCTGCTAAGTAATGGTTTCCAGAGTGTCTTTGAATGTAGTGCCAGCTGAAGGTTGAAACTGAATAGCCACACACTCTTACTGGGTTTCATTTTGCCATTTGTTCATCTGCCTAATGTTTCTCTGAAGCCCTGCTCTATTTTGATGTTGGCAGATGGAGCAATGGTGAAGACAGTGACTGCCATTAAGTATCTTGAGAAGGCAATTAGAAATAGTTTCTGCCCAATTTGCATCTGTGAGAATTTCTAAAGCTTTTTCTCTGCTTTATAAAATTTAATGGTAATATACTTGAAAATTGTTCTTGCCATGTTTGTATTGTAATAACTACAAATAGAACTTAGAAAGAACATAACTAAAAATCCCTGTAACATTTTAAATACAGGCCTCGTGATCATTTTTTTGAACAGTGGTTTTATATTCTTTGTAAGAAGGAAAGTATTTTCTTAAATGCATGACCCCCTTATTTTAAAAGTTCTTCAGTGATGACTTGATCCCATTGGCAGCGTTACACTCTGTGGAATAAGTATTGCAGCTGGTAGCATTGCTCTAAGCGGTGTGACAGGAACTGAACACCACCTTATTAAATTAGAACTGCAAGGGGAATTATAATAGGCAGCATATAATTATCAGACTTGGAATTAGACCAAAGAGCTAAGGTTAACACCCTACTCTTTTGAAATATACCCTGAGAACTTTAATAACTGTCCGAGGACAAGCTATGAGTCTGGAAGGACCTTTCAGCAATGCCTGCACGTTTTCACTTTGGCCTCACTGTTCTACAGAAAGGCATGCCACCTACTGTTTCTTAAGACCCTTAAGGGGTTCTTTAAGAGTTTCTATGTCCTTAAAAGTTGACTTTGCTTTAAAAAAATTAAAAACAAAATTTAAGAGTAACTTTAAAAAAAATCATTTTATTGGGGGCTCATACAGCTCTTAGCACAATCCATACATATATCCATTGTGTCAAACACATTTGTGCATTTGTTGCCATCATCATTCTCAAAATATTTTCTATTTGAGCCCTTGGTATCAGCTCCTCATTATTTTCCTCCCTTCCCCACCCTCCCTCATGAACCCTTGATAATTTATAAATTATTATTTTGTTCATGTCTTACATCAACTGCTGTCTCCCTTCACCCACGTTTCTGTTGTCCCTCCCCTGGGGTAGGGGGCATTATATGTAGATCCTTGTGCTTGGTTCCCCCTTACTCCTCGCACCTTCCCTTTCCCCTCCTGTTATCACTACTTGCATTATTCTTCCCGAGGGGTTTATCTGTCCTGGATTCCCTGTGTTGTGAGCTCTTGAATCTGTACCAGTATACATGCTCTGGTCTAGCTGGGTTTGTAAGGTAGAATTGGCATTGTGGGAGTGGGAGGAAGCATTAAAGAACTAGAGGAAAGTTGTGTGTTTCATTGGTGCTATACTGCACCCTGACTGACTTGTCTCTTCCTTGTGACCCTTCTGTAAGGGGGTGTCCAATTGTCTACAGATGGGCTTTGGGACTGCACTTCACCCTCCCCTCATTCACGTCGATAGGATATTTTGTTTTGGGTCTTTGCTCCCTGATACCTGGTCCCATCGGCACCTCGTGCTCTAGAGTACCTCATTACTGATATTCTTGGGTGAGTAAAAGACATTCTAGTCATTTAGTTGATTTCAATTTGCAGTGTTCACAAAAGATTTCTTGAAATCCTCCTAAGATGTTCTAGAAATACAAATAAATAACAATGGTCCAAGTTCCCATAGTGCCAAGCCTGGCGGGGAAGACAGACTGTATAGATCATTCGCGTTAGTGTTCCTTTCCTCTTCTGTATAACTTGGCTGAAAGTTGTTATGAACGAGCTCCTCGGACCTCCTATCACTAACACACATCCCTGCACAGCCAATGATCTTTAAAAACATGCTCTAATATTTTAGCAAACCTTTTTTATGTTGTGTCTATGTTCATAAAGATGTTTAAAAGGATACATGGATTTGCTCCTGAAGAATCCTAGGAAGTTGAAGTGACGACAATGTCTTGATATTAAGGAAAAAGACCAGAAAATTGTAAAAGGCAACACAGTTCAAAAAACGTTCATGTCTGTGCCTTATGAACTGCATCAGCAGACTTAGAGGCATTCTTTTTACACTGATATTTGAAGATACGCTTTCATTTTTTTCATGATTTCAGAAAAGTAGGATATTCGGTTTGTTAATCTTTTGGGATATGATCATATCTGAGGTGTTCTTTGTAGTAGGTATATTAAAATTAGCACAAATTAATAGGTATCTGGAATGTTAAAACTTATCAAACTTAGTAATTAGCATGAAGGACTCTGAATGGCATGAACTTTTAAGCACTCTACTGCTAGCCAAAAGATTGGCAGTTTGAAACTACTCGAAAGTGCCTCAGAAATATGGCCTGGCACTCTGCTTCCAAAGCTTGTACCCTTGCTAGCCCTGTGAAGCACTTTACTCTGCACACATGGAGTTGCCACGAGTCGGAATCAGCTTGACAGCAACAACAAATTAGCCTTAATTAGTAACTTCTTCTATAGGCAATATCTAACTAGTCTTGGAATTATTCGCTATGTTAGATTTAGACACTGATGGATGTCTAGAAATAATGTACTTGGTGTTGGTTTATTCTTTGGGTCATAAAATCTTACACAATATAATCAGCGTTGCCTCGTCCCCTGGTCCCTTTTGTTCCTTAACCCTAGGCAATTGTGAGGATGACAGGGGACCGTGTAGTGTCTTGTTCTGTTGTGCATAGGCTCGCTATGGGTTGGAGCTGACTCAGTGGCACCTAGCAGCAACAACTGGGGGACACAGTTTGTGCTTTACTAGCCTAGAGGTTGGTGGTTTGAACCCACCCACCAGCACCATGGAAGAAAAAGCTGGTGATTTGTTTCTGTGCAGATAACAGCCCAGAAAATACAGTAGAACACTTCTGCTCAGTAACACAGGGGTCATCAGGAGTTAGAATCAATTTGACAGCCATGCGTGGGTTTGGTTTTTCTAAAAAGTGTAGTGAATGTAGTTTCCTGCCAGTTATCATGTCCTTTTAAAAAAGTAAACTAAAATATTATTTTTGATTTTAAAGTAAGAGTGGTGCACAAAAGAGAAAACTTTAAGGGGATTCTTGATCAGTATGATAAGTTTGGCACAGGCATTTAAGGTGTACTTTTAGTGAAATATGTAAATAATACTTCAGCCTTTGATTAAATGATGACTTCTTTAAATAGGAAACTGAATACTTAAGAGTCTTTATTCACTTTTATCATACTTTCTGATTTGCTAACTAAATATTCTCTTGCATTGTGTTGTGTTCATGGTACTACTAAGGGCTTCCATAAAGATGTGGCAGTGCTACTTCCCATGAATTTGCATCTCCCTCCCTTTTTAACAGGAATCAAAAGCTTTTGTGACAAAGAATTAAACAAATGCATAAAACTTTTTAAAGTATAACATCTATGAAAATTTATTTGTAGGGACTATGTCATTAGTCAATACATAATTAGAAAGAGGTATGTGTAGTTAGGTCAAGTGGGTCATCTATTTCCAGTTAATAGGTAATTTACGATTATCAGATTGCATTTGAAATTTTATTCAAAAATATGTAAAACACACACTCAACAAATTAATAAAGATATGTAAAACATGAGGAGCTTATATCCAGGCACCATGAGTTACATAAGTCAGTAAAGAAGTCAATTACATAAGTCAGATAAATAGAAATGTGATTAATTTCATAATTTAGCATATGCCATATTCATTTGGAAAAGTTACAGTCTGCTGAATCTGTTTATTTCTGTGTTTTTAAAATGAAATTGACCTCTGATGAAGGATATTTGGCATTAGCAGTGTACTGAAGGCCAGATGCCTGGTTACCTGTTCTAATGATGAAATCAACTGAACATGTAATGATGGTTTCTTTTATTCCTGTGGTCACTTTGCAGTTCAGAATGCAGTGATGGGGAATGGTCTGCTTCTTTGCCTCGTCGATTTTCTGGTACAGAAAAAGATCAGTCCTCAAGTGATGAGAGTTGGGAGACACTGCCAGGAAAAGATGAGAATGAACCTGAACTACACAGTGATAGCAGTGGCCCTGAGGAAGAAAACCAAGAACTTTCTCTTCAGGAAGGGTATGTTCAATGAACTTTACTATTATTATTGTCTGTTGTCAAGGATGGTATCTTTATATATCTTCTTTAAATATTACGTATACCATTAATTTTATTTACAAGCTCTACATAATAGATCCATTGCCATTAAGTCAGTTCCAACTTACAGTGACACTACAGAACCAAGCAGAACTGCCTCCCTGGAGCTTCCAAGGCTCTCAATCTCTCCAGAAGCATGCTGCCCCATTTTTCTCCCAAAAGAGCTGCTGGTTTGTTCAGGCCACTGATACAAAGTAATTTGGGATGAGTTAGGTTTATAAGAAGCTGTAGCTGCCATTGCTGTTCATGGCAGGGAGATGGAACTTTCTCAAGAGGGAAATAAATGATTGTTTTACAGAACTGGAAGCAGTTGCAAGAATTGAAATTTTAATATTCTTATATAATTACATTGGATGATCTCTCCAGAACCATGATAAATATCAGTGATTGATGGTAGACATCACTGTGTTAGTTCAACATCCATGGGGATGTCCCAGTTAGGAGGATGTCAGTCTTTGTTGTGACAATTCAATTCTACTGCTAATACCTAAAAGCAGCCACAGAAAATATGTAAGGGAATGAGTGTGTCTGTATTCAGCAAAATGTTGTTTTAAAGAATGTGCCTCACCTGCCTGTCTCCACCAGCTGTGTCCACTATTGGAAAAATATGGGTTTCAGGTCTTTAAAACTATTGAGATGAAGTAATATTCTAAAGAATAGCTTTTATCATTAAAAAAGAAAACAACCCCAAAATCCTATGGTTGTCCCATTACATATGTGGTTAGACTTTGTCCAAACTAACATTAAACAAGGCATACTTGTATATTGCTTTGGAAGACTTGAAGTATTGCTTAACTTTGACATAGTTAACTTTATATGGTAAAATGTATGTCTGAGAAAGATACAGAGTATTAGAAACCTAAAGAGGGAGAAAAGGAATTAGGGAACTAAAGCAAAAGAACCCTTAAAGATGATCCCCGATAAAGATAAGAATACAAGAAAAAACATGTTAAAATGATTTTAAAAGTGAGTTAAATATAAATGGACTAATCTCTGTAAAAGATAGTTTATCAGTTGGATTAATAAAAATAGTTAAATGCTATTTACAAAATCCATGCTTAAAGTAATAAGTATACAAAAAAATTCAAAGGATAAAAAATGACATTTCAGGCAAATATTGACGGAAAGAAACTGAAACTGTTACATTAATAGTAGCATATTAGGCATAAAAGACAAAGTGCATGATTAGGAGGAAAAACGGATAGTAAACAATAAGTCAAATTCACCAGTAAATTGTCAAGAGCAATGAGTCAGTCCTGACATATGATACCCCTATTTGCGGCAGAAATAAACGCTGCCAGGTCCAGGCCGATAATCACGGATATGTTTGTGCCCATTGTGGCAGCCATTGTGTCCCTCCATCTCTTAAAGGTGTCCCGCTGTGCACGACCCTGTGCTTTACCAAGTATGATGCCTTCTCTTTCCTCCCTTTCCAACACCCAGAATCAGATGCATCAGCTCTTCAGTCTTCCTTGCCCATCGCCCACCTTTCACATCTGTAGGAGGCCATTGAAAATGCAGTGGCTTGGGTCAAGGGCATCTTCATCCTCAAAGTCATACTGTAAAGAAGTCTTTGGCAAGCAGATTTGCCCAATACAATGCATCTGATTTCTTGAATGCTACTTCCATGGGTCTTGATTGTGGATCCAAGGAAAATGAAATCCTTGACAACTTCAATCTTTTCTCTGCTGATTGTTATGTTGCTTACTAGTCCAGTTGTGAGAAGTGATTTTTATGGTGAAGACTTTTTACTGAAGGCTGTAGGCATTGGTCTTTATCACTAAGTGCTTTAGAAGTCCACTTGGTTTCCAGGAAGCAAGCTTGTGTTTTCCGTGTACTGCAAATTGTTAATGATCCCGCCTCTCTTCCTGATGTCACCTTTCCCCTCATCTAAATCCAACTTCCCAATTAGTTGCTCAGCAGACAGATCGAAGTATGATAAAAGCATATAACCATGACACACACCTTTCCTGATTTTAAGCCATCCAGTATCCCCTTGTTATTTTTGGCCTATGGTACATGCTTCTCTGGAATTCCCATTCTTTTTTGGTATTATTCATCATTTGTTATGGTCCACACAGTTGAATGCCTTTGCATAGTTGAGACAACACATATAAATGTCTTTCTGGTATTTTCTGTTTTCAGCTAAAATCCACCTGACATCAGCATGGTAATATGCATTTCATGCCAGCTCCTGAATCTAGCTTGAATTTTTGACAATTCACTATGTACTACTGCAATTGTCTTTTAATTATCTTCACCAAAATTTTTACATGTGTGTTATTGATATTGTTTGATAATTTTTCCATTTGACTGGACTACCTTTCTTTGGCATGGGCACAGAAAAGAATCTCTTTCAGTTGGTTGGTCCCGTAGCTATTTTCCAAATATCCTGGCATAAATGATTGGGTACTTCCAGCATTGTATCTGTTTGTTGAAAACTATCCATTGCTATTCTATCAATTCTTGAATCCTTGTTTTTCACCAATGTTATATGTACAGCATAGACTTCTTCCTTCAGTACCATGGATTTTGCTCATGTGCTACTTCCTGAAATGATTCAAAATAGCTCTATCCTTTTTGGTACAGTGTCTCTGTATATTGTCTCTCTTTTGATGCATCCTTCATTCATTTTCTTGCCCATACAATCCTTCAGTAATGTAGCTGGACATCTGAATCTTTTCTCCATTTATTTCAGCTTGAGAAATGCTAATTTCCCCCTAATTCTAAGTCTGCACATTTTATTTTAATACCTTATCTTATCAAGCCACCCTTTGAAATTTTTTCTTTGCCTCCTCATTTGTTTCATTTGATTTAGCTGCTCTAATTTAAGAGCAAGTTTCAGAGAGTCTTGTGATATCCAGACATCCATTTTAGGATTAACATTTTTTTTTTTTCATATATTGATGTCCTTGATGTCATCCCACAACCCTTCTAGTCTTTGGTCACTACTGCTCAATGCATCAAATCAATTCTGAGATGTTTTTAAAAGTCAAATGAGATATGCTCAAAGTCATGTTTTGGCTCTTAAATGGACTTGGTTTAATATTCTTCAATTTCAACTTGAACCTCATATTTGTTCCACAGTTGGCCCTAAGCTTTGTTCATCTGTCGACATTGAGCTTTTTCATTGTCTCTTTCCACAGATGTGGTCAATTTAATTCCTCTGTATTCTATCCAGTGAGGGCCACATGTAAAGTCGGCATTTATATTGTTGAAAGTAAATATTTTCAATAAACAAGCCATTGGTCACCTAGAATTCTTTCTTGCTCTCTGTCATCTTTTTTATCACCATAGTCATATTTTCCAGCTACTAATCCTTCCTCTTTGTTTCCAACGCTTACATTCTGGTCATTACTAATTATCACTTCAGCTTGATTACATGGCTCATCAATTTCAGACTGCGGGAGTTGGTAAAATTTTAATTTATCTTTGGTTAGTGTATAAATTTGAATAATAATTTTAATAACTGCTCTTCCTTGTAGGCATATAAAGGTATTATCCTAGCACTGATAGTTTTGTGTACTGCAGGATAAGTCTTGAAAGGTTCAGTTTGATAATGAATGTGATGCTATTCCTGTTCAATTTGTCATTCCTGGTAGAGTAAATCATATGGAATACCCAATTCACAGACTGACAAAGAGATTCCTTTACAAGTGTGGGGAAGAAGGCTGATGGTGCCCAGCTATCAAGAGAGATAGCATCTAGGCCAGGGTCTTAAAGGCTTGAAGGTAAACAAGCGGCCATCTAGCCCAGAAGCAACAGAGTTCACGTAGAAGAAGCACACCTGCCTGTGTGATCACGAGGTGTTAAAGGGATCAGACATCAAGCACCAAAGAACAAAAAAATCATATCGTGAATGAGGGGGAATGCAGGGTAGGGACCCAAGGCCCATCTGTCAGGGTGCAGTGTAGCATCGATGAAACACAA